GAATAAAGCGCGAGACCCATAGCTATGTCGATTGTCGAGGGAGTGACGCATTATAATTTACTGGTTAGCTTTCCATACAGTAACATAACAGCAAGACGGTCCTTCGGAGACGATTATGTCACTAACACAACTTACACAGCGCAAGGCAAAGGATAAGTTTAAGTCATGCCACATGATTGACAGTCATCCATCCCTCTAGAGGTCAAGTCTCCCCCTACCAACCAGTTCCCAGTCAGCTCAGCCCCCAGTCTATTCCAGTGCACCAATCATGGTGACCGGTTTCCACCGGCCCCATCCACTCAGACCATGAACTCACCTCCAGAAAGTCTCCGGCAGCCATCGAGAAGAGAGCGTCGGCCGGCATCTGCGAGGGGTCCGTGTCGGGGAAGGTGACGGCCGCTGCCTGGTGCTCGGGAGACAGGTGGTTGGCGTGCGTGGTACACCACGGGTGCAGCCGGTACAGGTGCGTACCCCGACACCTGAAAGAGGGGTGGGCTGCCGTCAGCGGCTCCCACAGCCGACCAGACACATACTGGAGCGGAAAACAGAGACAGAGTCTGCCGAATTGGAGACTCCATCCATACAGACGGGGATCAGCGGTAGAAAGTTAAGATAATTAGTTCCGGCGAGCAAGCCAGACGACACGAAGGATAGGTTTACTCGTACAGATTTATCGTCTCGATTTCCTGAACATTATACATAATGATCTCGAAAAATCATTTTAAAGAAAGTATTTCCGATATAAAAGAAGCATCAGAATGGGAAATCTAGTACCTATTGCTTGTTGTTGATCTCTTATCGCAAGATGCCAGTGATCAAAATTCATCAAAAAACGACGATAACTATCGTGCTTCACAATAATTAGGTGCAACACCCCAAGCGATTTTATTTTAAACCATTATCTCAATATCCTTCAGATGTCACGGTGCTAATCACATTTCTTAGCAACTGCCTACCCGATGGACAGCTGCGCTCACCGGTTCAGCACAAAGTTGGAGGCGAACAGCATGAAGAGGGCGAACTCGTTGCCCTGGCAGGCGTAGCCGAGTTTGGCGATCTCGAAGGCCAGCCTGCCGAGGCCGGCGCCCGGAACGAGCACCTGGATACTGCTCAGGGGGCTGCGGCAGCGAGCGGGGCAGGAGACACGGTTACGTTACCGTCGACACATACACAAACACGGACGCAAGCAACAAAAACTGAAGATTGTGAAAAAGCAAATGCTTAAAATGATAGTGCATGTAGGTATGTAACAGCGATAGTCTACGTAGTCAAGTGCACAGTAGGTAGTTGACGTAATCACTCATCGTTTTTTTCTGAAATTCTTCCTAATCACCAGCACTACCAACATCATATCGAGCAGCTCAGGCCTTATTAATGACGACACATCAGATGTTACACAACACCATCAGCAAACACTACTGGTGCTGCGGCTCCGTCACAGGCCCGACAACCACCAGTCCAAATAAACACCCCGGTCAAAGTGAATAACAGGCGACACGGCGGTGGACACAGTCGTGGGCAGCGGCCGGGCGCCATCCCCTAACACGCATCACACACGTTGGGATAGGGCAGGCTGAAAACTGCGGCCGAGCTAGGACTCCATAACTAGTAACTGGGAGGGATGCTGCCGGAAGGGAGACTGTGCCCGATACCAATATAGCGACACTCATGCTCGCAGAATGGCGGAATAGAGCAGGATGATAACAATTAACAATAAATACAAATATAAGGGTGCAATGAGGTAATGGGATTAATGGCCCTGCCACAGCATTTAATAGATGGTTTATCAAGTCATCATGGCTCAGTTCGTCGGCCACGTGACAAAGTCAGCACTCACGAGCTAAATTAAAGCGGGCATCTTAAACAGGATCTTAAATGACGAGAGCTACCCATCAAAGTAAATGGTTCTTAATTACGATGGCGCGCCCTGCCCCTATAACGGCACACGGACCTCAGCCGGCACTCTACCGGCGCCTCCCATGACCCACTCACGTGTCTCCGGTGGGCGGGAACCTCCTCTGTATCTCGTCGACGATCGGCTGGTAGCACTGGCGCCGCTCAGCCTCGCCCTCGACGCTCCAGTCGCGCACCACCTGACGTAGCACTGAGCTCACCTTCTCCATCTCGGAGAGATTCGGCCGAGACAGGCCCCGGAACTCCTGCCGACACGGCAGCGAGACGCGGCTGAGTCAGTGGTGATGAGCGCGAGAACCGCATTGGTACGGCATGTGCTCGTTCGGTGGTATGACATTAATAAGTTCGTTGGTACGACCGATTCGTTGGTTGGTTCGTTCGTTCGGTATCTGTAAGGATCTTGGGCACGACATTTATTCATGCAAGTGGTACGATATTAGCTGATTCACTGGTAATAAGTCATGTGGTGGTTCATTGGTGCGACATTTGTTCTGCCGTGCAAAGGCAAAAACGATTACGTTAGGTCAGGGCTCATTACAGAGCCAGCCAGAGGTCACTCGAACGTTATCGTTTTTGCTTTTTCACGGCAGCGTTGGTACAAGTGATTCCATGAGGCCGAGATATTGCTCAAAGCCGAGGACTGTCCGCTTTGCCTTCCGCTCCGACCCTAGCTCAAAGACGAGGACTGGTCGTTTCCACGGCGACCTACCTGTTCGTCGTGTCGGCTGTTCTCGAACATGACACCCACGTCCTGCAGGATCAGTTTGATGATCTCGTGGTTGTGCTCGACGCAGACGCGCAGCTGACGCAGGTGCTCGGCATAGTCGGTGAGGAGCTCGCGCTGCCGGGTCGTCATCAGAGACATGAACGTCTCGTTCTTCTCAATCTTGCCCAGGAAGTGCACCCTGAGATGGGAAATGCAAGGTCAGGTAAACGGATAATGAGGAAACATGTCATGACGTGCAATGTGCAGACTAACATCATCATATAAACATGTGAATATGGATTATGGTTGCAAACAAAAATACTCTGAAAACGAATTATACACTGTACAGTCTGGGATATTAGTGACAGCATAATAGCAAATTACAATGCGTCTGAGCTATTACCTGTAATATTTGAAGGCATTGATGACCCTTTGGAAGTGTTCCCTCTCCTGCCTCTCCTGATCCACTGGATCGTCCTCCTCCGGCCCGCTGTTGACACCATTGGACATACCCTCCTCTTCGCTGCAGGGCTTAATGGCATTCATTTTATGCAGATCCTGCAGTCATTTGGGAAGGTTTAGAAAGTACACACGACACATGCACAAATTAATACAACAAATTAATAACTACAGAAAAAAAAAACATTTTGGAAGGTTAAACTGTTGCCCTGTCCTCCACTTGCCTTTTCACAGCTGCAGTTTATCTAAATAAAAGGGGAGGGCTGATCTTGATTGGGCTTCCTAGCCATTCTATTGGACCCTCATCAAACTAGAGCTACACAGAAAGCTAGCGTGCTGCCCATGACAAGAGGAGCTGCCAAGAATACCCAATTTTAATCCACACCATTGGTTGACCTTTCAGGTAAGGCCAATGACTGGTTTGTTTTTCCCTGGTTCTTATTTTAAATCTTCAATCTGTTTTCATTTAAGATGACTCATGCATTTGGGGTAGGATGGGTTCAGGTCAGATCAGGTCAGGTCTGCCTTACAGCACCCCACTGTGACTGGCTATCCATAAAAGATGTTAGCCACTACTAACACTTGTTCAATATGCTATGCATTTCTAGAATCTAGATGCATCATTGTAACCAGAAATTTAATTATGATAGGTAGGTAGGTAACTAATTAAAAAACAACAAGAAAATTATGGGAACTATTAACTGGAAAGTTATCACAACATTGTTGCACGTCAACATAAGATGCTTAAGCTTAGGCCTAGGGTGCTATCAATGCTAAATCAATGTCAAACTACAAACTTAAGGAATTACAATGGGCAAAGAACTGTCCACAAAAAAACAGATTTGCCTGGTTATGACAGAAGAAAAAAGGGCATTGAAGTATGGCTATGAGGCTAAGGACCCATTTTTTGGTATCATCTGGCAGTGCCTACTGCGGCACTGCCTGCATTTGCCCCTGCAGAACTCCCCAGGCTGTGGTATGCATGTCTTTAAAAGTCTCAAGCCTTTAGCAACTTTATCACACCACAGCATATGTCTGCTGGTGCTACATGATGCCTACTGATGCCTTTCTGTATTTTTGCACCAGTGCAATATAATTGCAGTCACACTTTCATTTCTTAAATGATTGCAATTGCCAATTGGTGATCATTCCGCGTAGGTACCATTCGCGGCATATTGGGATAAAAATGAAAAACCTGGATGATATGTGGTGTGTGCCTATCTGCCCCTTTGTCCACAAAATGCAGATTTAAAACATGACATGTTTTAATCACTGTTTGTCAGGTTTTGACTGAGAAGTAAGCAAAGTAAGTCACCTCTTGGCTCTGAGTCAAAAGTCAAGTCATGTCATGCTGCCTTGTTCAAGTTGTAGTGTCTCCTAACAACTGTCATTAAGATATTAACAAAAGATACAAATGGCAATATTCACAATATAAAAAAAAAAATATTGTGACACAAAAAACATGCAACAATTGCTTACTTTTCCGTTTTTAGTAAAAATCTGCAGCGCCCGCAACCTCGTCGCCTTCGCGGCTCTCGTGGTCACATTGCCGGCGTGTTCGCTAGCACTATACACGAGTGGGACTCATTTGGCTCATTTATCAGTCTTGGATAATACGACACTATCGAACGCCAAATACAAGAAAGTAAAACTTATACGCCAGCATATTAGTTTAAATATAAGCATATAAGTCACAAACCACTTAAGGGTCAATTTCTTTTTTAAATCTTGTGTATTTCTTTTTCTCTCAGGCTCAGGTTGCCATGGACACATTCGCAGCGAAATCAACTGGTGCAGCATTTGTATAGCACGATGAACAGGAGGGAGGAAGTAGCCTTATCGGCCTCTGCAAGGCTTCCGCGGCCGACTCATTTCTAATTCTCATGCAACATTCAAAGATTGTCGCGTCTAATACAAAGTCTAAGCAGCACAGCTTGTCTTTATTTTATTTGGGCTCAGACACTGCTTCTAGAGCCGAAACTAACAACAAACTCCTCAAAACAACGGCTGAATCTTGATTTCCGCGCAAAGGGTCACACAGGCTCCACAACCGCGGCAGCAGCGCGATATAGTCTAGTAGACAGCACTCTAGCAGCGGGCGTGCAGGCAGTCCAGTAGTTCAACCACACCACACATCCCACACGGCCCGCCACTCCGCGGCGCAGCACACATACCCGACTAGCGCGTGAAGAAAGCACGAGACAGCCGCGCCGGCCGCGTGCCGATGACGAGATCCGGGGACGGCGCGCCGGGCCTCGGAGGGCGCCGGCACACTGAGGTCGCACTGGTCGCGTGATGGGAGAGGGCATCAAGCGCAGCCCACTGGTCAGATTCGTTCACGAACCGGTTGCCGTCGGTCCCTCACTGGTTCAGAGCTGCCACGCGCCCGCTCCTCTGTTCGACCAGAGGGCGTCGAGGCCCGGGTGTTTGTCCCGCCCGGACGGACCGCGCGCGAGCCACCGTGGGGCCATAAGAGACGACACCCTCTAACACTGGCGTCATGACCCGGCCGGCTGGTGTCCAGAGACAGCACTCCCAGGCACGAGCGTCCTGACCAGGCCTGGCCGGCCGGCTGGTGGCCACAGGACAAGCCTTCCCGTCTATTGTCCCAGCCCACACGCCAAATACTTGACCGGTCACCGCCTCCACCTTGCCGCAAACCATCAGAGAATGCTGAAAACAACAAAGCAAGTGAAAAATAACGCATACAGATGAAAACAAAACCAAAGCCAAAACCAGCACCATAGTGTAACACGGTAAGGTCATTCAAGAAAAATATATTGAGAGTACACTACAGAACGAGGAGGGCAGTACAGACAACTAAGCCAACAATCGGCCCTCGAAGGACAGACGGTGGGCCGGCGACCGGCAAGCCGCCCGGGCGCGGAGCACTCACATCAGATGGCCATCTTCGTCCATATCAAAGTCGTCATAGCCGTAGTCGTAGTAGTACTCGTGGAAGTCGTCAAAGTCGTCCTGATCGATATCGTCAATGCCGTCATAGTCGTAATCAAAGTCGTACTCGTCGAAGTCGTCCGGACCGAAGAGATGCAGCTCGTCAATGATGCCGCGCATGTGCGGCGGCACTGTGTTGACGTCCCGCAGGGTCAGCGGGCCCGGCTGCGGCGGCGGCAGTTCCTCCAGATTAGTACCTGGAGGGTATGGGAGGGGGGGGCGGTCAGTTGCGGCCCGCGCCGAGGCTAGAGTCGCCGGTCAGCAGGGACCGCAGTGCGTAGTGTGCGTTCACACCACACACTGGGTGAGAGGAGCAAGTCAGTGTTCTGAATACGACCCATTGTGTGAGAGCGGCGGTCTCTACTTAGGGATTAAATGCGAAAGCACTGCGCTGATTTTTTGTGCGACTCCCTGCTTGTCTCACCTCCCACGTAGAGCGTAACGTCCCTTGCGACGGGCAGCTGTTCAGACAGGAGGTCCACCAGATCGGGCGACAGGTCCTCCACGCAGCTGATGTCGAGCAGTGTCAGCGACTGGCAGGCCACCACCAGTCTGCCAGAGGTCACCAGAGGTCAGACACTGGTCACCACGAGCCTGTCAGAGGTCACAGAGGTCAGACAATGGTCACCACCAGTCTGTCAGAGGTCACCAGAGGTCAGACACTGGCCACCACGAGCCTGTCAGAGGTCACAGAGGTCAGACAATGGTCACCACCAGTCTGTCAGAGGTCACCAGAGGTCAGACACTGGTCACCACCAGTCTGCCAGAGGTCACCAGAGGTCAGACACTGGTCACCACCAGTCTGCCAGAGGTCACCAGAGGTCAGACACTGGTCACCACCAGTCTGCCAGAGGTCACCAGAGGTCAGACACTGGTCACCACCAGTCTGTCAGAGGTCACCAGAGGTCAGACACTGGTCCCCATCAGCCTGTCCGAGGTCACACAGTGGCCACCACATGCCTGTCAGAGGTGGAAAAAAAAACACTCATCACCACTTGAGTCACACAAATATTGAAAGCTTATAGGTCAAGCCATATAACTACAGTACCGAGTTATTAAAATGGGAACAAAAAATAGGATACTCTCGATGCATGTGGGTCACCCCCAGTGCACGTGCAAAATACAACAATAAGAGGTGTCAAATTTGTTCCCATTTTAATAACTCGGTAATTACTGGGGCGAGTTCGCTGAAACTAGGCATACAGGTGGGCACCCACCAGGCAATTCATTCCCATGTGTTGCGGTTAAGGTGCTACTGCACGTGCGCACGTGCAGGGGGCGCTTCCAGATCTCGAGAACGGCTGGGCCGATTGCGCTCAAATTTGGTACACGGTTGGAGACCGGTTAGTAGGGTGCCGTGCAAAAGTCAGTTTGGACCCCGTTTGCACGTGCGCACGTGCAGAATACCGCTTCCAGGTCTCAGGAACGGCTGGGCCGATGTCGTTCAAATTTGGTACCCGCTAGCGACCGGTTAGAAGGGTGCTTTGCGCAAGCCCGTTGGAAGTACCCTCTCGCGGCCCTTCCGCACGTGCAGGGCTCACTATCTCGCTCGCTCGTTCTTCGCCCAAAAGGCGTTTTACTGGTATTACTGACCGGGTGACGCCCCGGTCGGTGGTATTACTGACCGTGTGACGCCCTGGTCGGTGGGTATTACTGACCGTGTGACGCCCTGGTCGGTGGGTTTGTAACGTGTGACGCCCTGGTCGGTGGGTGGATATTACTGACCGTGTGACGCCCTGGTCGGTGGGTATTACTGACCGTGTGACGCCCTGATCGGTTTGTATTACTGACCGTGTGACGCCCTGGTCGGTGGGTATTACTGACCGTGTGACGCCCTGGTCGGTGGGTTTGTAACGTGTGACGCCCTGGTCGGTGGGTGGATATTACTGACCGTGTGACGCCCTGGTCGGTGGATATTACTGACAGTGTGACGCCCCGGTCGGTGGGTAGATACTGACCGTGTGACGCCCTGGTCGGTGAAGCCCGCCGCGCCCTGGTAACCCTCCGCCAGGTGCAGCTGTTTCAGAGGCAGGCCGTGCAGCCGGTCCAGCACGGCGTCCGTGACACAGCGAAGGTAGCTGAGGTCCAGCGACAGCAGGTGCTTGCAGCGGCGCAGGTGGAACAGGCCGTCCTCGGTCACCGATGGACAGTCTGCCGCACAGCCAGATCTCGTCAGTGGCGGAAGTCTGGTACTACACCTGAGACCGTCGTCGACCTTATTTGTAACAAGTGGTACACCCAAACCCGGCTTCCCCTATGACCTACAGACTGAAAGTATGCAGCTAAACACAACGATCAGCAGCTGAGGGACTATTAACCCGGCAGGCGGTGGGCCTACCAGCCACCTTCCGCGCGGTGGGGGGGGGGGGCACTTTTTTGCCCCCCCCCCCCCCCCGTATCTCCGAAACTACTGGACGGATCCGGAAAATTCAACGGCGTTCGATAGCCTTGTCCAATTTGTCGAAGGAAACTAAATTTCATTGACCTCGGGGTCACCGATGACGTCACATGTCAGGTCAAAGATAAAATGTTTCACCGTTCACGGGGCTTCTAGGGAAAGCGCTATAACACCGAGTAAAACGAATTTTGTCGAAAATCAGCGATAGGGCGTCAGTTGTCTAGTACATATGTTGCTATTAGAGGTCACTGGTCATACCAGGTCAGGTCACAGGTCAGGTCACCAAAGGTCACCAATGGTCAGTGGTCACCACATGAGCCCAAGTTTACTAAGGTTATGCGATGCATGTTTTATGGCCAGTTTTTCATTTCCAACTCAATGGTGTTGGTTATAAGACCATCAGGTACGGTTTAGGTCACTTTCTGGTGGAGGTCAGGTCAAGGTCAGGTCAAAAAAGGTCCAATTTCAAAGTTGATATTTTTGCATAAAATGGGTATCGATTCGATGCAGCTCGTCACGGGGAGTCTGATGGTGGTCTTTGTTTTGCGCTACGAGGTCTAGAATGGCTAAAAATTGAGTTTGAAAACTTGACGTCATCAGTTTTGAACAGTTTTTTTCGCTATAACTTGGCCAAAAAAAGAGGTATCGATCTCAAATTTGGTATGTAGATAGAAGGCGGTAGGGGCTATCACATATATTCCGTTTTTTTTCGAAATTCAAAAAACTTTTTGGATTTTTTGCTATCATATTCAAAAAATCTATTTTTTGATTTTTGGGGGTCAAAATAAAAAAAATCGAAAAACCGAAATAGCAGTTTAGTGGCCCTTTTAATTCCACACCTTTTATGTCTGAAACATTTTTTTTGTATCTCTAAAGCTGTAGGCCTGACAGCTCTTCCCGCAAAACCTTTTTTTTGGGTCGAAAATGGCAAAAATGACGTCACTCTGACGTCATTAGCGGCCAACCTATCAAAGCCTTTGGAAAAAATTTTTGGTCACCATGTGCGCTAACTGCTCCCGGGAGGGTACTGAAAGTTTGGTGACGATCGGCGCAGCGGTTCTCGAGATATATCGAAAAAACTAAAGGGGGGGGGGGGGGCAAAAAAATGCCCCTCCACCGCCTGGAAGGTTAACACACAACCCCTTAACCACAGCCGCTCTGCAAGCAATCGGCGCCTTCCAGCATTCACAAGTTCAGCAGCAAATTCAACAAAGGTCCGAGAATAGGATGTATGTACCTAACCGACAAACCCAGCATATGCCGATTGCAGAGTGCGGTTATACCGAGCAGCAGGACGGCAAGCGTGGGATGTATGTGACGGCCCCCGGTCAACAGACATGGTAGCCCAAATCTAGTCGGATATGAAAATTATTCTAAATCCATAGACTTTAACCCGCGCCCCACTGGGGTCTGCGTATAACACGCCCTACTGGGGGGGGGGGGGGGGCTATTCATAGCCCCCCCCTCCTAACTCCGAAACTACTGGGCCGATCGTCAAAATTCAAACGGCGTCTGATAGCCCCGGAAAAACTGTCGAGCGAAACCTAATTTCATTGACCTCGAGGTCACCGATGACGTCACAGGTCAGGTCAAAATAAAAATTATTAGCATTTTGGTTTGTTCACGTTTTGGGCTCTGGCCGCCGTCCTACAAGTCAGATCAGGCTCATTTTTGGTTCACACACTCGTGAACAGATGCTCTAGATACCCTGAGGGTACCAAACTTGTACTTTGATTTTCAGGTCAAGGTCAGGTCATCACAGGTCACGAAAATATTATATATCATGCGTCGGTCACGTGACACATGTTTTATGGTCCATTTAGGCCAAAGATTTCGAATTTGATGTCGTCTGTGTCATTCGAGGTCATTTTGAGTCAAATTTAGCTTAGGTCAGGTCACTTTCAGGTCAAAAAAGGTCAAATTTTGAAGTTATAATTTTTCAACAGAAAAGGTGTCTATTGGATGCAGTTTGAGCTCAGGAACACGATGGTGCTATTTATATTGGCGTACGATGTCAAATACGTGGTGAAAAATTGATTTGAAAAATTAATAATTGTGAATTTTTTGCAATAATGCGTATAACTTGGCCATTTTTGAAGATATTTAGCTGAAACTTGCTAGAGTTAGTCATAATAACGCGTTCTATCACATATAATCCGGTTTTTTCGAAAAGTCACAAACTTTTTGAAAACAATGTAAAAATGTAAATTTTGAGTTTTATTATATAAAATTTTCAACATTTTCAAAATTTCGAAAATCCGAGATAGCAGTTTGATAGCGCAGTCAATTCTGAGTCCTCTCATGCAAAGAAATTGGATCTAGCTTAAAAACTGAGTCCTTGGGAGCGATTGCCGTGGTTCGATGTTTTGCGTCGAAATCGGCCGAACATGACGTCACTCTGACGTCATTTCCGGCCGACCTATGGTAGCTACGAAGTTCAAATTTTGACACAAGGTGTCAAATTGATGCAGCCGAAGGTACTGAAAGTTTGGCGTCGATACGTCAAGCGGTTTGGAAGTTATTGCAGAAAAACGGGAGGGGGGGGCTATAAATAGCCCCCCCCCCAGTGGGGCGCGGGTTAATGCTAAATTGACTATATTTGAGAGGGTTTTATGAAGATACATAACCAGATACAGAAAAAAGCGAGATGCTATCTTGTAGAATAAATCGTCTACTATCTGCGACTTTTGAAGTGTTTTTCAATCTGAGGTACGGAAATCGTGTTCCCAAGAGACTGAAAGTAGCCATGCTTTACATTAGACCCAATAACAAAAATTCGGAATCTGACGAAATTGGCCATTTTTACGTCGGATTTATGAAAATTCTAGACAGGATATATAAAAACCCGAGATGCTATCAGGTGGGAAATTTCATTGTCTATTACCGCTTTTTGAAGTGCTTTTCGATCTGAGACCGGCAAATCGTGTTCCCAAGAGACTGAAAGTAACCCTGTTCTACAGCAAGACAATGGCAGGATTCTAATATTTGATGGAAGATATCTTAGGTGATAATAACCTTACCATTAATTGCAATGCTTCATTGGAAAGCTCAACACTGGCACTATCATCGGTCTTTGCATTGCTATTTCACAGAACAACAAGAAGTAACGTTTTGAAGCCTTTGAATATTGACTTACTTTTCATCGACGGGCTCGATCCCTATCACCATCAACAATTTTCCGGGAAGTCAGGATTTTGCAGATATTCAAGCAAAATTGCAGAGCTGTGTTAATGCTACGACACTTAAATATACATTTTAAGAAAACTGCTTTTTTCCTTAGCATGAGTTAGGTCTCAGAAACAGCAACATGTCGATATAATGAGGAAAAATAAGTGCAAATGATCGCGTAAGAGAGTATCCTTAGCTCCCTAGCAACCACCTAGCAACGTAGGCAAAATAGTAAACAACTCCTGTTGATATCAGGTACTCAGCCTTGGAAGCACACTAGACGGTCACCACACTGGGCTGCATACTAAATTTTGCATACCAGAATGGATGTTTCCAACTAAAATTATCTTTTCGCGAAATTTACCTTTGTTGCCCTACTATTTTTCGTAAAACCGAGATATACAAACTTCATGATATCAAAAATAATATTGTGATAATGAAAACCGCCATATAAAACAAGATTATTGCTGAGATCATGCCTACTAAACTTGGTCCTACCCCCTAATTCAATATACCCTGTGTGACATAGCTTATAATATGCTCATGTAGCTGTATTCGAGTATATTAGACGTATGTTTAGATCTATCGTACCCTGTATGTTGAGTGTGGTCAGGTAGGTACATGTGGGATATGCCCTGCATTTTGAGCGTGGTCAGGTGGATATATGTGGAACGTACCCTGTATGTTGAGCGTAGTCAGTCCGGGCAGCAGGTCGGCCAGCTGTCGCAGCGTGTTGTCGGTGACTCCCACTGCCGAGCCGAGGTCCAGGTGGCGCAGCGCCGGCAGACCGGCCGCCGGTACGTGCCGCTCGATGGGCTCCATCATGCGGCGGGCGGTGAGCCGCTCCAGCTGCGAGCAGCCGGCCAGTGCGACGCTCAGGTCGGCGGCGGCACCCTCGGGCAGCGAGGAGACGTCCAGCTGGCGCAGCTCCGGACATCGGGAGCCCACCTGGCGCAGTGAGTCCGCGCGCAGGCCCGTACAGCCGGCCACCGAGAGGCGCCGCAGCGCCGCCGGCAGCAGCGAGAAGCAGCGGCCCGTCACGCGGTCACTCGAGTTGAGCTCCAGGGTGCGCAGCAGCGGCAGGTGGCGCAGCAACACCCACACGCTGGCCTCGCTGAAGTGGTAGTGGTTGGGCAGCTTCACCTCCTCCAGCGACGGACACGATATGCACAGCTTCTTCAGAGAATCCTCGTTGATACAAAACCCGTCCAAATCGATTTCAACCAGATTTTTGCAATGAGATGCTACGGACGGAGCAAAGGGGGGACAGGGGGGGGGGGGGGCACGTTACACAGGGCTGGGCGAATTTCGGAGCGAACATAGAAAAAGTGATTGAAAGAAATGGTAAAATGAAATGAACGGTAGAACTTTTCGTTTCCCAACAACGTCGTCCCAAAATTACTCCCCGGGTTGCTATTCTCGGGAGATCGCTGCGAAATATCAAACGAAATTAGAGTCAGCATCAAGGCCATCAACAGTAGGAATCAAAAGAGGTCTGAGTAGCAAAATTTTCACCCATTTCGCGCTGACAGCTAGTAAGTAGATCCAGCTGCTCTGAACAACAGAGTTTGACAACAAGCCCCTGCCCGTCCGAGGGGCGGCCACTCACCGACAATGTCGAGCGCCTTGTAGGAGCAGGTGCGGACGTTGCCTCCGGTGCGGAGGACCCTCAGCGCCGGCATCAGTCGCAGCAGGTACCTCAGCGTGCGATCCGTCAGCCGGCCGAGCGTGAAGTCGCCGGTAGTGGCGGTGGCCAGCAGCGGCTCGGCGCGCAGATCCAGCTGCTGGCGGCGCCGCAGCAGGTCGCGCGCCGCGTCCTGCCACCGGTGCGACACACGCTGCACGGCCAGCAGCTGCTGCAGCGGCAGGTAGGAGAGCACCAGCTGCAGCAGCTCGGCCGGCAGCCGGTCCACCAGGCACGGCCCGCTGGGCGGCGACGGGCGGCGCGCGCCAGCGGCCGCCCCCCGGCCGGCCCGGCTGCGAACGGACGGCGCGCGCGGCTCGGCCGGCGACACGCGGATCTGCCGGCGCAGCAGGTGCAGCGCCTGCGAGCCGTCGGCGGCCAGCGCGCTGCAACGGGCGGCCGGCGGTCAGAGCGCGCCGCGCCGACACCGGCCGGAGGACAGACAGGGGACGAACCGGCGCAGCGCCCACAGTCGCGGCCCACCGCCCGCCGACTGCCGTCCCACAGACCCTTACACGAGCGGCAAACTTATGTAACCATGCCGTTAAAGGGACCACGCCATTACTGAGAAACCGAAACACAATCTGTAATAGTGACGCTCAAATACTGTAACACTCATGCGTTGGCATGCTCAAAGGCTTACATGAGAACCATGCAAAGGGCTTTCCCGCGGCGACGGCAAGTCGGATACATAGGAGAGATCTGCGTACTTTTGGGCACCAGCCTCCTCCCTGAAGGTGACAAATCCAAAGCCTCTGGATTTTCCACTGTGGGGAGCTTTCACTATGTGCACGTTCGCTACTTTGCCAAACTGCTCAAACAGGTCCCACAGTCTTGACTTGGATGCCTGCAAGCAACACAGATGTTAGTGCTGAGAGTGAAACGAAAGGCCATACCTTAACTGAATCCATGGACTATTCCTGCAACGAGATCAGTTTATGAATAATGGACGTCATTTACTAACTTGAACAATAAAGATGAACAAATTCGATGGCAGAAAGTTAACAAATGTGATTCAAAGAAGGCATGTCACAATAAAATCGAGCAAAGATGAAATACAAAACCCGACGCATAACTAATCAATTTTAAGACGCTTCTAAAAACAGTGTGGCTCCTGCGCAGTGCCCGACGGCCTTGCACTGCCCTATAACAGTGCAGCCCATAAGCTCGGTCAAAACCCTCGCGGCGTTCCCACCACTGTCCTCGCTGTACGTACGGTGAACGGCAGGTTGCCGGCGAACACCCGCTTCTTGAGGTCGGGATCTGTATCGGGGGCCGCTTCTGCCTCTGGTTCCTCTCCTGTTGTCGCACCACACTCCGCGTCTTCCGCCGGGGCTCCGCCCTCCGCGTCTTCCGCCGGGGCTCCGCCCTCCGCCCCCTCGGCGGCGGCGGCGGTTCCGCCCTCCGCCCCGGCGGCCGGTGGGCTGTCACCGCCGCCGGCGGGGGCGGGGGCGGGGGCGGGGGAGACGGACGGCTGCGTGCGCCGCCGGAAGTGCAGCGGTGAGCCAATAGTGAAGCGCGCCGGCCCGTCCTGAGAGGGCGGTCAGCGGGTCAGCGGCGGCGGCCAAAGGCGCGGGACAGGGAACTCGGCTAAAACGACACCATATACACAAACATAACGACACTAGAGACAGCGGGGTAGTGACAGAAAAGTGGTGAACTTCTCGATTTTCTTAATCGTAGAAGGGGTTGTACACCAGTCAATCATCCGTAAAATATGGCCGTGAAATAGTTTTGCTACTGTACGTACTTTAAAACATTGCGTTCCAAGTGCGCCGTATGGGTCAAAAAAGTTATTCCGCAAACCATCGCGAAAGCACTTTTCTGACACTGCGGCGGGAGTGAACGCTTAACAAACCAGCTGCTACGCTAAACCTTATTGCAGCGGTAACGGGTAGCCTGACACGCCAGACGCTTTGACCACCGGACCCTGGTACAAGCAGCAGCCACACACTGGCTTACTGTTGACTAACGGGCCGAGATGGCGCAGCCGCCCTCGCTCCCTCCCCTCTCCCGCGGAGGGACACGCACCTGATCATCGTCCGAGCCGGGGTCGGCCGCGGCGCCGCCGAACTGAGCCAGACCTCCGCCGATCTCGATACTGGCTGCCTCGGTCCGACTCATCACAGGCAGACTCAGCTTCCGACTCTGACCTGCTCCAGCACAGCACGCAAAAACGCACAGTCAGGCGTACCACCGAGACGTAAAATAAACACAATCTATGGAGACATAGCAGTGGGCACTGGGTTCTTTGAGGCTTTTAGCAACACTCTCCAGTGATAAAGTCAGAACTGAAAGCATTGTTTTTTGTTCAGAGTAACACCACATGATGACACCGGCTCTGGGTGTCAGCCAGATCATACGAAACTAATTTGATTGCAATCTAAATAAGAACCAAGGATGGATGAAGTGTCATTAGCGACGTAATTTATAAGAAAAGAACATCAAATTGAGAACTTGAATCTTCCAGGAAATAGCATACTTCATTTGCTTATGTTTTCACAAGCACAGAGTAGAAACACTTCCAAGTGGAGAGTCATACCGTTCCTCCAAAATTACCTGCTCTTATCACTAAGACCACGAACGCCATCACCAAAACAGCTAATATTAGCAGCAAACAACTAACAACTATAATAGAAAATGCAACAAGTATCAACATAACAGCAGCTGCGTTGCAACACTATAAAATTAGTTGACATGTTTGTTGATTAGGGATGTAGGACTAGGAACGGTTGCATAGCGACGTTTGGCAGACTTTGAACATCCTCCACTTGGAGAGATTACATACGCCATCCAATAAGGGCGAAATGAGAATGTAAAAGAAGCTACTGAAGCATCGGTAATCGTGGCATAGGTATTGGTTCGCGAGTCAGTTGTAGGCAGTTTATAAAGTGACAACATCCCCTAAAATGGACTCTCGATGAAAGCAAATCGAGCTGGGGCGATCACAGTCGCTTCTAATGACGGTTTCAAAGCCTGCCCGCTCACTTTGTACATAGGTTTAAGGAGAACTAACGCAAATTTAACTGATTCCGTATTCATTCTATAAATGGTTTACACTTTACAGCCAGGGATGCCGGATGCGGAATCGACAAGTTTCGGTGAAAGCGACTGCGACTCCGACTTCTTAGCCCCGTATTAACTCCCGAAAATCACAAATGTATATTTTATTCAATGGCAGCAGCTCGAGCAAAAATGACACTTTTGGTCAAGTGACGAGATAACATCTGTTCCTCCAACCTCATAGCGAACGATGCGCCATTGGACAAGAAACACGGCACTGAGGTTTTTCATCCCGATTTTCCTGTGCGCTCATCCCCTAACTGTAATATTATAACTGTTGGCCTTTTGTCCACCAAGCATGCTGTGCTGAGGCATACAGTACAGCACTGCGGTGAGTTCAAGAGCTCTGAGACCACTTTGGGCAAAGGGAACCCTGGCTGATATAGGTACCAATAGTAACACGGGGGTCGAACACGTTGGCACCGGGACCGGGGCATAACTCGGAGCCGGGCGGCACTCACCACCGGGGCCGAGTTCGGGCGGCACTCACCGCCACCAGGGCCGGGGGTAACACTCTACCGTCCGCAGCCGAGACCGGGCCAGGGAGTCACTCGCCGCCGGGGCCGGACCAAGGGTTCACTCACCGCGGGGGCCAGGGTCGGTGCCGGGGGTAACACTCTACCGTCCGCAGCCGGGACCGGACCAAGGGTTCACTCACCGCCGGGGCCAGGGCCGGGGCCGGGGGTAACTCTCTACCGCTGAGCCGGGGCCGGACCAGGGGTTCACTCACCGCTGACCGCGGGGGCCAGGGCCGGTGCCGGGGGTAACTCTCTACCGCAGCCGGGGCCGGACCAGGGGTTCACTCACCGCGGAGTCGGCGCTGCAGCGCGGCGCGGCCGCAGATGACGCCGTCGCTGGCGTCACACTGCAGCGCGTTCAGGCCCAGCTGCGACGAGCCCAGGTGGAGCTGCGAGAGGCGCGCAGACGAGCCCACCGCGATCCGAGGCCGGTTCGGACGGCGAGGCAGCGTCAGCATGGCACGCGCCGCCGCCGCTGGCTGCTGTCCCGCGCTGCGGCGGGGTGACGACTCGGGCGGTGCCGATCAGGGACTGGTGCGGCTGACCTCGACCGGCTGCGGCACACAGTGGGACCGCGCGGGAGGTCACAGGGAGCCGACCACACTGGAGGAGTCACACAGGTCACACATCAAGCTGACTGGACTGGAGGCCAGTCACACAGGTCAGATTGGGAGTGGGAGTGGGAAGCACAGGGTGTAGGGCAGACTGATTCTTCTCCAGATTTTCACATCAAGATTACTATAGGGCCTAGAGCTTCTTTGAGATCATAATTGATGATGATAAGGCGACTTTGCTTAATTAACTTTACTACAAAACTTTGCACAGCCCACGGTTGTTGTGAGAGGTGACTAGTCAGCACATTCAAATTGATCCAGAACTGACAATCTATATTACTTTTTATGAGCCAACAATACAAAATGTTTAAAGAGGCATGATTCAAATTCTCTAATATCAAAAAGAAAAAAAGAAGATCTTATCCCTACCACTAAAAACGGTCATGCATCATCTAATTTCAAAAAGAAAATATTATCCCTGCCACTAAAAACCATCCATGCATCATAAGACTGGGCATAAAAGTAGGTAAAAACTTATGGCAGCATACTGAAGTAAAATACATACACTATAGTTCGTTTATTTTTCATTTTGATTTTCATTTTCACACTCCATGCTCCTGGTTCAGGCGCATATATTCAAAAGTAAAAATATTACTTTTGTTATATATGACTATATAAATAATTGATAACTTGCTTGCTTACAAATAACCTATTCGTGATGCAGAACATTACAAGGGGTTGAAATGCTATATATTTTTACTGGCAATTTATAATTCTTTTTGAGAAGTCAGGATAGGTAAGTGAGCAGTAAAAATGTTAAGGTAGCCAAACCTAAAACCTATAACCTACAACCTGCCAACCTACAGGCTACAACCTGCCAACTTACCAATGGTACTTTATATACACTGATATACTGCCAGGATATAGCTGATTTCTTCTGAGCAATGTCTCCAAGGCAGCCTAAGAACAAATAAAAATTGCACTTTTCAAACCTTGTCCATACTTCTGCTTTATTTTTATTTTCTAAAAGAGCAACAAGAACAGAGTAAATACTAAAGACCCATGGAAAATTAGCAATGCCAACATGGTCATAACGGGAAACAGTTCTCTTCTACACCAAGTTGATGAGGACAAAATGAATATCATGTTCCATAGGTAAGTACTCTAGCTTAACAACTCGAGCCATCTATTCTCAACTCAATAGTAATGTGAAAGTGGAATGGTCACTTAAAGTGTTAGACAATTTTAATCAAAAATAAGCAGAATTTATTGCTGTGTATAACACAAGGTACCTACTACAATCTCACCAAAAGTCAAGTCATCCTTAGTATCCTCTGCGACCCGCGTATTCACTTGCTCACCTTGACCTAGGTTGAGGTACCTATAGGTTACCTATCAAATAAGCATTCCATTCACATTTCAATTTCAGTCTATTCACAATTCAGGTAAACTCATCCTGCAATCTCCCAATTTTATTGCAATGTTGGTGTTCATACCGGGACAAAAAAAAGAAATAAATAGAAATTATTGATAGATACAAAAGAAGGCGACATTCGTGGCGCTTTCGGTATCTCACCTACACCCTTGTTTTTGGTGATGAAATGACATAAAAATAGATGAAAATGACAATAAAAAACATATAAATATTTTCAAAGTCATATGTACCTTAAGCAGTAACGAATAGCCCGGATCGTCTTCTTTTTTCCGCAAAATTGAAATACGAACCACACGAGAAACACACACACGCACCAATGCAAAATTGGACGTCAAGGATGTTACAAAAACATGAGCTTTGGTAAAGAATGGCTTTATTTTACTGCTAAAAACAAGAGTCCCGTTTATAGCTCACCACTGCGAGGTAAGGCAAGATTACTTTACTAATAGAGCTAAGGCACAGTGTTTGACACTAATGTAAACTGACGATAATAACTCAAGTTTACTGTACAAGACAAAGCTTTCGATGCATAAAGTATCTTGATCACTGTCAATGAGATGTGACACAAGAGATTTGACACTGAGATGTGATCACTTTGACACTAAACTAAAGCTCAAACAATGTGACGGTTTAGTCAAAAAACAATTATCGTTATCGTTCTATCGTTTATCGTTTCGTTATCGCTGTTAAAAAACAATTATCGTTATCGCTTTATCGTTTTATCGCTATCGCTGTTAAAGTTTTAAATATTTTTATCGTTTATCGTTTATCGTTATCGCGAACGTTTCTTATCGTTTTATCGTTATCGCAGGTCCGAAAATTAGTTATCGCGTAAAACACTGAAACGGTGGTTCCGTATTAGCGGTCCGTACCCGGCGGAGGTCGCTGCCCAACTCCCGGCGTGGGACAGGGGTACCTATCAATAAAATTCCGGAACATGAGCTCATCTGCATGAACAGCTTTGAGGGGATTTTAAGCGATTTGGTCAACATTTGAACCGTTAAAAGTAAAACCAAGATAGAAAAAATTTTGGGACCAAGGCAAGTATTATGGTAAAGGATTAATCCAAATCGGTCATAGTGCAGGGGCGTCGCCATGGATTTTAAACAGGGAAGACGGATCGGCCGATCGGCCGACCAAAATTAGGACCAGGTATTGTTACCGACCCGTACTTTTTCAGGGCGATGCGCTGCCTCATGGTTGTAAGAGTTACGCGGCCGGCCAAGGGGAAAAGGATAGCCCCTCCTCGCAGATCGAGTTCGTCGTGTGGCAACTGCCGGTAGCGGCGGGACACCTTCAATTAAGGGGGGCACTGCCGACTTTTGATCCCATTCCTTCCATGCAACGCCCATAGGGCTAATGTTAAAATGCCAAACTCAAAGGGGGCACGGTGCCCGCGCCGGTGCCCTCCCCGTTCCGCCGCCTATGATAGGCTTCACCCATGGGTGTAGTTTTCCAAAAATCATTGGGGGTGCTCAATAGCTTTCAGAAAGGCATGCCATAGTTTTTTGTAGTTTTTTTTTTAGCTGTTCTTTTTTACTGTAGCCATCAGGCATCATGCAAGAAATGATGTTAAATCGGTTCGAGAGCTTGTTTTAATAGCACCACTGTAAAACAATTTTGGCTCACCCAATGCATTAACCCGCGCGGGGCTGGGGTCTCCAGCCGAACACGCGGGGTTGGGGGGATAAATTTTACCCCCCTGTTATCTCCCGAACTAATGGTCCGATTTGGAAAATTCAAACGCCAGTCGAAGGATCTCATCACGAATAACTAAAAACATGTACTTAATTTAAAGTTTGAGGTCAAGGTCAAGGTCAGGTCAAGGGTACAAATTGCAAGTTTCTACAGTATCGGCCTTGCACCGTAGTTGCCGAAGAATGGAGTCATGGACTGAGACTGATTGCCCAAAACGTGTTTGGGCCTGACCTCAGGGCACATTTTAACAAATTTTTACTGCGTCCCAAAGTTGAGCAGAGGGCACGTGCTACGACTAAGGGCACAGGGCAAGGAACAGAGTAGGGCACTGAGGAGGGCAGAAAGTAGGGCACGGCAGGTTGCAAGACATGGCACAGGACATTTTGAGGGAAGGCCGGGTACAGGTCAGGGCAGACGGCAGGGCACAGGTCAGGGAACCGGACAGGGCAGGGACGCAGTGGTTCAAATCAGCAGGGGCTACGTCTCAAGGCGAGGGGGCTGCGTCCCAAAATGGGACGCAGTAAGTGCCTTAAAACATGCCCTGCCTGACCTTGGCCATAAGTTTGGCAGGCCAGATTTTGTAATGGACCATTTTGAGTCAACTTTGAGAAATACATAAGTACAACGGTGGTAAAATCGTTGCTATAGGTATAACACAGTTTACCCGCTCCAGGTGTGAGGAAGGGATGTGGGGCAATGAGTGCACTGACGTGGCGCCCTCGGAGGGCCGGTATGGGATTAAAGCTCAGCTACACTAAGCGCTTGTGTGATGCCTTCAGTTATCGGTGGTACCCTCAGAATCACCGGCGTAGGGCCCTCAGAGCCGCCGGTAAGGGAGGCACCGGTGTGGGGCCGCCATGCAGGTGCCGGTGTGGGCGATCAGAGGTGCTAGTGTGATTCTCCTCTCAGAGGCGCCGATGAGGGTCTTTACAGGCGTTGCTCCGAGCCCTCATAGACGCTGGTGTAGAGCCGTTACAGACGGGTGTGGGGCCTTTAGAGCTGCTGACGCGAACTCTCTACAAGCCGGCAGGGGGTCTCAGTGACCGGCAAGGGGTCCTTAGCGGGCTTAGGCCGGCAGAAGAAGTCCTGCGGGGTCCTAAGAGACCGGCATGGTACTGTCAGACGGCGGTGGGGCCCTCAGGGTCACCGTTGTGGGGCCCTCAAGTCATCAGTGGGTGGCCTTTAGATGCGCAGGTGTTGGGTGGGTCCTCAGAGCCGCCGATATAGGGCTTTAATAGGCACTGGTGTAGACACTCAGTTGGGGGTGTGAAACCCTCAGAGACACCGTTGTGGGCCCTCATAGGCACCGATGAGGGCCCCCACAGTTGCCGTTATGGGGCCCTCAGAAAAATAAGTGTGGACTGTGGGACCATCACAGGTGGGAAATGCCCCTAGAACTGTCCCCTCATAGGCCGGTAAGACCTCTCAGGAGCCAGTAAAGGCTGAAGCAGACTCTTTCCGCGTTCAGGAAATCGTATGCGAGAGCCTATTCAAATACATTGTAATTCCTCTCGCATCAATCGCTCGCGGGAGGTGCGTGCGATTGATGCGAGCGTGCTTCCATGTATTTGAATAGGCTCTCGCATGCGATTTCCTGACTGCTGAGTCTGTTTCAGGCTTAACGGGCCTTTGGAGACCACCGAGGTGTCCTTAAAAGCCGCAAGAGGCCCTCAGAAGTCGGCGTGGGGCCCTTATGGAAACCTTAGTGTGGCTATTTAGGGCCCATGAGGTGCTCTAACGAGCCCCACGGGACCCTTCTGAGTAGAAATATGGCCATCGTTAACCCTCAGCGGTCAAATGGCGCCGCAGGGCCTCTCGGACCCGAGGGTCCCTTTGAACTCGATGGGGGAGGGGGTACGTGTCCCCTTAGACCCCTAGCTATGCCACTGTTTCATATGCATCATGTCAGGTATTTTAGGCTCGCCCCCCCCCCCCCCCAACTTGAAAATCGTTCGCGGGCCCCTGATAATATCAGATGTAATGTTAACACAAATATCATGCATCTTAATTTGTGGTGATTTATTCAATGTATATTCTCTTAGTCACTGAATTGAGTAAGCATAGTATTTGCATGATTCACTGGGCTCATTACAGTACTAGGAGATGGACATTCTGATTATTGAGGGCCTTGAGTCAGCTGGGAATGTTTTGAGGAGGCTGGGGGTGCTTTAAGAAGGCAGGGGGTGCTGAGCTCAGGATTGGGGGTGCTTGAGCACCCACAAAGAGATATAAAGTTACGCTTATGGCTTCACCTATGAGTCTATGACACCAACTTATTTCACTGAGTTGGCTTTGTTTTACTTTAGTCTTTACTCTTTACACTGCATGACTCTCTGGGATTGATTTACTACGAAACTAGAGCTTTCTCACCCGAGGATGCAAGTTGAGACGCGTGCCGGTCGAGACGGGTCGCAATCGCCTGCCCGCCGGTGACGTATCTCTTTCCTGCGCGCTGATTGGTCGGACGGTCGGCCGTCTCCGTGCGGGGGGGGGGGGGGGCTCGGCTGCTGGCGGACGGTGTTTTCTCACGCACGGAGCAGAGGCGGCCACGCGTGGTTCGTCGTTGTCGCCGGTTGATGGTTGCGTTCTGCGTGGGTGTGATTGTGGTCTTGTGGATTTGTGATTGTGGTGATTGTGGATTGTGGTATTTATGTACACTGTGATTGTGGTGTGATCTCGGCAGTTGGTGGCGTGCACTGTGCACTGTTCGCTGATGCACAGTTCTCTGAACAATGGAATGATCAGTGTTCAATGCATTTCCGTGCGTTGTCGCGTGATGCAGTCTGCAAAGGTATCAAAGGTATGTTGGCTATCATCTTGAGGCCTGCAAAGGAGAGAAGACCAGACTTCCGCGTGCTTCTATTGGTGAGTAGAGCAGAGCCCTGAGCTCTTATCAATTATCATTATGTTCCACTCCTGCGCGAGGATTCACTGCTTCAGCACAACCCATAAGTGATAAGCCCTGTCATGCTAGGACAATCCTGAACTTATTGGGAAATTATGAATGAAAGTGGACTAGGTAATGCTCGGAACTTAACCCGCGCACCGACAGGGGTCTGCGACTCTGCGCCGACTTCGTACCGACGTGGGGGAGGGGGGGGGGGCGGATGACCGCCCCCCCCTGAGATCTCGAGAACGAAGCAAGATAGCGACAAGCGGTAAACGGCATGGGATACGCACGGACAGGGTATACAATTTTTACGAAGGTCATTTTCAGGTCAGGTCAAAGATGACGTCACAGGCCCCTGTGACAGGGGTCAAAAAGTCAAAATGGCGGCGCTAGATATGGATAGTTTTTCTCGAATAACTTTCTAACTAGTCAAGATAGGAGCAATCTATGGGCATCATCGTGATCATCTCGTCAATCCGCATCGAATGATATATATATATATATATATATATATATATATATATATATATATATATATATATATATATATATATATATATATATATATATATGTTGACCTCGAAAGGTCAAGGTCAGAGGTTGAACTCAGGTCATATTTCAATGCAGTCAATTGAAGGTATATCATTCAATGCGTCTTGACGACCTGAACACAATGAGACCATCCGCGCGGCTGTACCTTGTTCCTGTACGGAGTTATTGGCAAAAAACCTTTGGTGACCTTTGATGACGTCACATGACCTTACA